GACACGTTGGTATTGATTTTGTTTTGTATTTATGCTCTGTGTTATATCTGAATGTAAGTACAGTACATGACAACATATAAGTCGTTACGTATTTTCCTCTTACTGTAGCACCTCTCATCTCCTTGGACAGTCATGCGAACTGAATGCATGATGAAAGGCATATGCGGCATATCTTAAATCTAGATTATTTTAACCTTAAAGCACAGATAGGGTAGATTAGCATTGGCAACTGTCTAGACAGAGAACAGAGTACCAGTTTGAAGAACCAAAAAATGATTCAGTTTGGTTGTCTCCAAAAATTACATTTCTCAAACTGGGGTTCACAAACCCTGAGATATTTGAACATTTTTCACATTGTGATTTTTGTTGCATTAATAAGTGTTGTGCTAATATTTCGAGGGGTGAGAACCAGAAGGGCGTAAGTGACATTTCACCAACTTTACAGGAGAGCCAAAACAAAAATTGACCATAGTTTGATCTGATTTTGTGTACTTATTTCAGTCTTTTATAATAAAAATGTGTACACACATGGATGACAGGATACTTATTGAACACTATTTTAACATTTATTCAGAAAAAAAAAATCATTTTTTTTTTAAATTTATACTTTCAATCTTTTATAATAAAAATGTGTACACACATGGATGACAGGATACTTATTGAACACTATTTTAACATTTATTCAGAAAAAAACAAATATATATATTTTTTTAATTTATAAAAAAAGTCACTTGCGCCTTTTTGGCACCAATGTTTTATTCAATACGTGTACAAAAACATGGACGCATCTGCTGACAATTTGAACAAAACATTACATTAATGAGATTAAAGAAATAACAATCCATTGTGATAAAATAAAATATCACATAAAAAGCCCTTACATCAAATTAGTTAATTGAATGTGGTTAATTTTACTGAAATGGTAATCTCAGCCACTTAACAATTTGGCCAAATGGTCAATTGAAAAGCCTTTACAGATGCCTTCTCTAGTGAAAAATAAATATACAGAAATGTATTTTAAATACATTTATTTCATGCTAAATTACAAATACATTTACATGTTATTCACATACTGTATCACTAAACTGGTATACTTAAAGTCTGCTAAATTGGAACAACAAATGTTTTACTTAATGCACTTTAATTGTAAGAAAGTAGTGCTGAAGTCTAACTAAAGATATACTGAAATATATTTGATTGTGCTAAAAGTGGAACTATTGCAAGTATAATTTAGGTACTCTTTAAATGTCTTGCATTTAAAGACTGATATTATTCAAAGATCATACAATCTTCATCAGTAGAAATGTGCACTGTGCACAAGTAGTACTCCAAATAAAGTTTAATTATCATTTTTATGTCAGTAAGTATCGAGTGATATGTCAGAAAATAGACAATAAATAAAGCAAATAAAACGTTAATAGATTTTAACTAGTAGGAATGTGTGTCATAAAGAACGTTTCAGATGGAATAGTGAATTGTACATGAAATAGTAGCCTACTCTGACTGGCTGACTTGTAAAGCTTGGTGGAAATCCACATAAGGCTGTGGGATACCGTCATTTGTGCACGAAAGTAAGTCTTTCTTTTTTACAGCAATGATCCTAGGTGGACATCTGTATAACGGTTTACTCACTGCATTTCTTGTATGCTTTCCCCAGCCATCTCCTTTGTCTCTGTCTGTCTGTCCCTTCTCTGCATTCTCTCTCTTGTGGCTAAGCAGTAACTGAGTGCCTATATGATAACACCCACAGTAAAAAAATTAAAAAAAAAAGTAATGTATTTAAAATACATTTATTTCTATACTAAGTATAAATCAAATCTATTAATATATTTACTGACATATTGCTCAAGACTTACTGATATAAAAATTATAATTAACTTTAAAGACTCAAAGAAAACATCTTGGAGTGCTACTTGCTGAAAGGACCTCTGTTTAATAGTCCCAGAAGGTGCTCTTTGGTAGGGTTCAAAATTATATCTATAGAAACTACGGATCCAAGGCACTTCTTCCAGTTCCAAAATGTTAAAAAGCCTTTATTCAAACATGGCTCACTCTAGAAACATTAAAAATGACTAGAACACTGCACACTGATGCATTTCGGCCATCCAGCCTTCCTCAGAGTGTGTGGCCTTTATTCAGCCATGTTTGAATAAAGGCTTTATAATTAACTTTATTTGGACTACTACTTGTGCACATTTCTCAATATTAAGCCTAAAATGTGTTTTAATGTCAGTGTTGATGAGGATTGTATGATCTTTGAATAATATCAGTCTTTAAATACAAGATATTTAAAGTGTACTTGAAGTATACTTGAAATAGTTTCATTTTAGCACAATCAAATATACTTTAGTATATCTTTAGTTGGACTTCAGCACTACTTTCTTACAATTAAAGTGCATTAAGTACAAAATTAATTGTTCCAATTTAGCAGACTTTAAGTATACCAGTTTAGTACTAAAAGTACAATTGCAAAGTATTTTTATTAAGCACATAAATATGTATTTGTAGTATACTTAGCATGAAATAAATATATTTCAAATACATTTTAGTATATTTATCTTTCACTTGGGACATACCATCAGAATGTAAGTTATTGGTTACTACCCGCTAGCTAGCTGCACCTCGCTGACAATGAATTCTGGATACTTCATTTTCTCCCTCGTCATCCAGCTCTTTGTCACAAAATATGATTAATAATACATCTTTAGCAGTAAAAAACTGTTTTCTTCTCATGGTTGACCTACCTGGCTTACATCTGACTCAAGTGCTATCCACAGGCTTTACCCACACCTTCATTTAAAAACTGCATGTTGTGTTTACTTGTGTTATCTTTGACTAATATTTAAATTTGTTTGATGATCTGAAACATTAAAGTGTGACAAACATGCAAAAAAATAAGAAATCAGGAAGTGGGCCAACACTTTTTCACACCACTGTATTTAATATATTTTCATACTAAGTATAGTTAAAATCTATTAATATATTTACTGACATATTGCTCAAGACTTACTGATATAAAAATTATAATTAACTTTAAAGACTCAAAGAAAACATCTTGGAGTGCTACTTGCTGAAAGGACCTCTGTTTAATAGTCCCAGAAGGTGCTCTTTGGTAGGGTTCAAAATTATATCTATAGAAACTACGGATCCAAGGCACTTCTTCCAGTTCCAAAATGTTAAAAAGCCTTTATTCAAACATGGCTCACTCTAGAAACATTAAAAATGACTAGAACACTGCACACTGATGCATTTCGGCCATCCAGCCTTCCTCAGAGTGTGTGGCCTTTATTCAGCCATGTTTGAATAAAGGCTTTATAATTAACTTTATTTGGACTACTACTTGTGCACATTTCTCAATATTAAGCCTAAAATGTGTTTTAATGTCAGTGTTGATGAGGATTGTATGATCTTTGAATAATATCAGTCTTTAAATACAAGATATTTAAAGTGTACTTGAAGTATACTTGAAATAGTTTCATTTTAGCACAATCAAATATACTTTAGTATATCTTTAGTTGGACTTCAGCACTACTTTCTTACAATTAAAGTGCATTAAGTACAAAATTAATTGTTCCAATTTAGCAGACTTTAAGTATACCAGTTTAGTACTAAAAGTACAATTGCAAAGTATTTTTATTAAGCACATAAATATGTATTTGTAGTATACTTAGCATGAAATAAATATATTTCAAATACATTTTAGTATATTTATCTTTCACTTGGGACATACCATCAGAATGTAAGTTATTGGTTACTACCCGCTAGCTAGCTGCACCTCGCTGACAATGAATTCTGGATACTTCATTTTCTCCCTCGTCATCCAGCTCTTTGTCACAAAATATGATTAATAATACATCTTTAGCAGTAAAAAACTGTTTTCTTCTCATGGTTGACCTACCTGGCTTACATCTGACTCAAGTGCTATCCACAGGCTTTACCCACAGTACATTTCTCAGTGCCAACGGGGCGTAAGTGCAGTTACGCTCTTTTGGCACCAACTGGCTTAGTATGTTTAGAGTCAAGTCTTTTGGTTTCTAATGAATAACTCCAAAGTTATTAAGAATTCACTTGTGTCAGTTTGGTAGTAGAAAGAGCTCATCAAGAGCTTTCATTTGATATATATATCTCCATTTCACTCAAAATGTCACTTACGCCCTTCTGGTTCTCACATTCTGGCACAGTTTATGGAGTTCAGATTGTAATAGTATTTACATGTTCTAAATAATTCTTCTAGAATGTAAATGATTTTCACTGCTGTAATCTTACATAATCTGATGTGCCTACATGTAGAAGCTGTTTTGGTGTTTATTTTAGTGTTTAATTTGAGTTGCTGAGCATATCATTTATATGTTTTACAGGCAGTTAACTATTACCATTTTGTGTTTTATTTAAATGTATTATTTTTATTTATTAATAACATTGTTTTATGTTTTATTAATAATAATGCTTGTTTCAATTGATTAAAATTTGTATTATTATTTTTGTGGTTCATTTTATTTTTTTCATTTGTAAATTATGTTATTATTTGAATTAATTTATTTTGTGTTACTATTGGTATTTTTATTTATTTACTATTAATGTCATTATTAATGTTATTAGCTTTTATTTGGAGTCATTTTTTATTTTAAATTTTAAAAATTTTACATTTATTAATTTATTATGAATGTTTTATGTTTTATTGAAATATTGCTATTGTTTCAATGTATTTAAACAATTGTATTATTAGTATTTATTTTGCTTTATTATTTTCATTTGTTTATTAATATTTGTATTTATTAAGTTATTAATTTTTTTATGTATATTTTGGAATTACTATTTATTAATTGTATTTTTATGAACGTCAATAATATTATTATTTGAATATATTTAATTTTTTGTGGTTTATTTTAGTGTATTATTACTTTCATTTTTTTTTATAATGTTATTTGAATTTTTTTCATTAATTATAACTTTGTGTTCCATTTGAAGACCCCACTTTCTTTGGTTTCTCTCTCACACAGGAACATTCTCTATTGCTTGAGCAGACAAACTCCACGCTTCTCTATCCTGAAGGATGCCCTGGAGGTCCCCTGGCACAACAACGTCAACCAGTCCCTGACTCTGGTAACCAGCGCCATCAGTTCAGCGGACAAACTCGTAGAAAGCGGACTCGACCTGTTTGAGAATGAAAATGACATCCCGCAATGACTGCGGATGTCTGGAAAGAGACCACACCTCACGGCGTCAGAATATGACACAAATCCTGAGATCTTCTGGTCGACACAGAGGTTTCAAAGGGATCTGAAGACACTTTGAGAAATAGAGGGTATCATTATTAAGTGCACTATTAACCTGAGGTTCACTTGAGGAATTTCTTCAGGCCAATACTAAGTTATTGTTTTTGCTCCTCTAATGATGTTCAAAAATGGATCTAGAAAGATTAATGAGAAAAGAGTCAGGGAGCTCACAGGGTCGAGACTTTTTGTTCTGGGGAAAAACACCAGCAGGTTTATCACTTATATTTCCAGTCACACAAACCCAAGAGGACGACTGGAAGTCAGGACTCAAAACAGGTTCAACTTGATGTTTGAAACACGTTTCAAAATGTTTTTAGAATATATTTTATTTGGTTAATAATACTAAGACTAGTACACCATTTTTTCAAATGGCAAGCAATGACCTTTGAAAAAGGAGAAATGCTGTGACTCAAAATCAACATGGAGTCAAACTTCATAATGCAGAACGTACTAATACTGATACTGTCTGATTGAAAAGAGAAAGCTGAAAGGAAGCACCAGCAGCGTGTGCTACTGTGACAGTCTCTCAGGGGTGTTTGTTTCAGAATCTGTAGAAAAATAGGAACGGAACGAAATATTTGTTCCAAAAATGTTTGTACTTTTTTTTTTTGTACAGGTAAACCAATTTAAGTTTAACTAAGAGAGCTCAAGTCAACAAAACAAGAATTCAGGGTAATGATTGTTCTGATACTAGAAAAGGAACATTTAGGCAATACAGTAGTGGTATAGTTTGTAAAGTACTAATAGTTTTGTATATGAAAGTAGTCATAGATCAGGGTTAGTATTTTAGTTTATAGGTCATAAATTCAAGGTGAACAGAGGCAAGTCTTTAAGAGGGCTGAATTGAGTTTGCAATTTGATTGGACATTCCACCAATGAGGAGCCAGGATGGCAAATATATAAGCTACACAAACAGTGCAGGTGTAGGATGTCATAATGGACTGTGTCATGGTAATGTCATGTTAACGTCTTTTATATTCTGGCGGCCAGTGTATTTGTTCTCAGCATTTGCACTAATGTTGTTTTTCCTCTGGTAACTATTTTGGGGGAATTAAAGGGGTAAGAGAAAGGAAAAATTGAAATCGCATCATATGACCCCTTTAAGGGTTTTGAGAGCAACTAATATCTTCCCTTTTACTTTAGATACTTAACTTTTACAGTAGTAGTTCGCCCAAAAATGAAAATTTGATGTAAAACCTACTCACCCTCAGGCCATCCAAGATGTAGATGAGTTTGTTTCTTTATCAGAATAGATTTAGGGAAATTTAACACTGCATCACTTGCTCACCAATGAATCCTCTGCAGTGAGTGGGTGCCGTCAGAATGAGAGTCCAAACAGCTGATAAAAACATCACAATAATCTACACGACCCCAGTCCATCAGAAGTGAAAAGCTGTGTGTTTCTAAGAAATAAATCCATCATTAAGATGTTTTAACTTTAAACTGTTGATTCAGATGAGACAATTTTCACTGGTGAAAGCAATTCTCATATTTTAGCCAAAAGCAATGATCTGAAGTTAAAAATGTCTATAACAAACACAGCCTTTTCACTTCACAAGACAATAATTGATGGACTGTAGCTGTGTGGATTATTGTGATGTTTTAATCAGCTGTTTGGACTCTCATTCTGATGGCACCCATTCACTACAGAAGATTCATTGGTGAGCAAGAGATGTAACAAATTTAAAACAAAAAAATGAGTTGATCAAACAAACTCATCTACATCTTGGATGGCCTGAGGGAGAGTATATTTTCAGCATGTTTTTCCTTTTTTTTTTTTTTTGGTGAACAATTCCTAAGCATGAAAAACAGCTTAATTAGAAACACAAAATTCAGGGAATCTAGTTTGACCCAGCTGTAATTTATTGACGTTCCTTCAAATGAGTCACACATGCTTTTAGAGCAGCAATTTGCACTCAGATATTTAAATACCAAACATTTACCAAAATATCTTGTACTGTGGTTGTTTTTATTTATAATGTTTCATTTGTCGAGTAATCATTTGAAAGGACTTTTGCTGTTTTCTTTTTGCCATTTTATTGTTTCTTATCTGTTTACTAACCCCCTGAAACATATTTTTAGAGAGCAGCCATTTAAAACTGTGCATCATTTTTCCAGAGTCAGCGTTTCCTTGATAATTATGACAAACCTTTTAAACAGATACTGCATTTGCACATGGAGAAATGCTGTGGATCCATCTACTGCTGGCTTACTACGCTAAACAACCCAGAAGAGTCCAGCTCATTTGCATTGCACTAAAATGAACTGTTAAACTGTCAACCTGCCTGTGTGTTTGTATGTGTGCTATTGTATTTATTTATTTTATTTTCTAAATAATTATGTAAATACGTTTAATTTAATCTGTCTTATTTTTCTGTTGACCCAAGATAATTTTCAGGTTCAGTAATGTTGTGCATTGCAGTCATTTGTATTGTTTAACATTTGTATGAATTTTATATAATGTGAAATCTCTCTAAAACTGCAGCTGCAAGATGCATGAAGTGTTTTTATTCAGATTAGGATAAAGAAGTTAGACAAGAGTTTAGATTTAGTAATAGTAGGCTAGTAATTTAGTAATAGTAGGCTATTCATTCTCATCGTTAGAATAAAGGGTCGGGCAATGAAATTGAACATGTAATTGTTTCTCAGTGTAACATCTCACAACAGAAAACCACCTGCATTCAATCAAACATACAAGATACAAAGCTGTCACTGGGGTGGTACCATAAAGTAAAGTAAAAAACCTTATTTACCCCTAAATGGTGCATATACGTAAATTTTAGTACTACAGCCCTAGTGACAAGTTTTGTACCTTTTTTCATTAAAGCTGCAGTCCGTAACTTTTTTTTGGTTAAAAATGATCCAACCAGTTATAAATGTGCTTCTGATTACAGATATCCTGGGATTACAAAGATTTGTATTTTAAAGAAAACCAGTTCGAAGGGAGCATAATTTGTTTTTTGGGTTAAAAGAATTTCTTAATATGAAATTTGAAGAGTATGACAATTAGATTAGACTGTGCAGAAATTGCACACTAATACACATTACTCATAGTCACCAATGCTGATGTTGTTAACATTAATATAAAATAAAGTATAACAATAATAATAATTTGAACGGTTTGATGTGATATGAGCTAACTGATCTTTATATTTAATCACCATTGGTAGCGAGATTTATGGTAATGCTTTTTTCTCCAGTTGGTCAGAACAAATGTGGCAAACTTGTTACTTGTTCAGATGGCAATATACGGTGAAAATTCTTATTTGGGTCATATTCCAAGACGTAGGCTAGAATCTGTGATTGCGAAGTACAGTAAATATCCACACCGGTGCGGTGACTGCCTGCCACACATACTCTTCAGAACATTAGATTCATCCGCGCTGGAGCCTTGCCGAATCACAACCCACGCAAGCTAGATAATTCCGCACACAGCTGCAATTTCAGGTTTTCAAACAGAGATGGCGACAAAGAGGCAAAACTTACGGACTGCATCTTTAAGTAAACCCAGACAGTGTGATCAGAACTCCTACACAAACCAGAAGGGGTTTATTTAGCAAAAAACAACCATCTGACTATATGTTATCTCGCTTATTATGCGGCTACTCACCAAATAAATTCATTAATATGCTTATTTTTAACAATAGTGTAGTAATCTGATGTCATTTTCACTACAACTGATAACTGAGACAAGATGGTGGAGTTTTGCTTGCATTGAACAAGAAAGTAACATTTGTTTCAGTTAAGGTGTAGTCACATATCGTTGTTTGACAAATTTTTGGGCGTGAAATCTAATCATTTCAATAGGAATCCATCCGACTTGGAATTTTGTGTGGGGGCGAAATGTTTCTCCACATAGATTTTGCAGCAGGTTATTCATTCAAATTCGGAAAGTGGAGAACATTTTCGCCCCTCACAAAAAATTCTAGATCGTGTGGATTCTTATTAAAAAGACTGGATTTCGTCCGTGAAAATTTGCTGAGCAATGGTAAATGTTCACCTTTACTTGAATAAGCGGTCTAATAAACATAGAGTTGTTATAGGCAACGGCAAAATATCTAAACCGCTAAATGCCCTGATTGACCAGTCAGAAACGAGTATTCCTGAAAGCCGTGTACTGAATACATATGTAGAGTAGATCTGTAAACAGTTTTTCCCAGTATTTTTTTCCATGGCATCACATTATACTAAAATCAGTATTGTTGTAAATGCAGTGCATGTTAAATCACTCTTGTATATGGGATGTCAAAGCTTGAGAACACCCAGTGTGGAGAGCAACACTCCTGAACATAATTCATAGAGTGTGTTTGGTGACACATACTAAATGACATTTTATTGCATTTAATGTCCGACACTAAATGACATTTATGCTTTGTCTCAATGGTCCACAGAGGTTGAATCCAGACTTTTTTATAGCCAGTGGGGCATTAAATATAATTGTGTTGTCTTTAGTTTGATGTCTCGTGGACCCACATGGGTCAGAAAACACCTAATGGATGGACAATGTGAACACGCTGTCGCTGTTTAAATGGGTGGAAGGTTTTATTTAATTCACGGTATGTTGGAGAAAGGAATATTTAAAATGAGAAGCAATATAATGTGATATTCAAAATGCACTTAACTCTAATAAGGGTAGAGAGGATTTTTAGATGCATGTTATTTTTTTCTCTGCTTAATTTGTACGCCACGGAACATAAAATGATCCTAAGGCAATAAATACCAGTGCTGGAATAACATCAGTTGGATCATCAGTCTCATTTCATTTCTCACTGAAAGACTGTTTCACAAACCATATAATGATAATCTGCCTTTTTCTGTCAAGTATAGATGAATTACAAGTGATTCTGATGGCCAATGTTAATATAATAATACTGACCCCGGCAACCGGCGGGTACTCGGGTTCTAGTGCAC